GGGAAGGGAAGGGAAGGGAAGGGAAGGGAAGGAAACTTTTACAGTAGTTGGATGACTTTTGATGTTGATTTTTTTTTTCTTCAGAGAGAGGAGATAAAACTATAAGTTGGAAGCTATAATTAATTTCCTAAATACTTCATTTGGATTTTTTCAAAATCCATATATGACTACCACATTATTTAATATTTATAGCTACTGATAAGCACTCCCTCATATGTATTAATAGTTCATTAATATTTACTGAGCATACACACATTGTTTACAGGGCACTTCCCACTATGATTCTGGAAAAATGTTAGATAAAGGTTTCATTGTGGCATATTTGTATACTTCATTAATTAAAATGCGTGTTGTAAAGGACAGTAATATGGATCTAAGCTTTGGAATCATAATTGAGTTCAGCAGCTGCCTCTGCTTTGATATACACAGATGTGTGAATCAAGACAGTGGGTGAAAAATGTTAAAGTAGTCTTAATTATTAGAACAATTTTACATAATTGTTGCTTGGTTGTGCAATAGGATTATGTAATGTCATTAAATTTATTGTTAGGATTTATATTTTGTGTTAATGGCCCTTGTTTTCTTCTGTTTCCAGATCGGTATATCATAGTTGGCAGCCGCCATCACACTGCATACAGTTATTATGGACAAGAATGGGCCAGCAGCACTGCCATAATCACAGCTTTTATCCGGGCCTTGATGTTAAGAGTTAAGAGAGGGTGGAGACCAGACCGCACAATTGTTTTCTGTTCATGGGGAGGAACAGCTTTTGGCAATATTGGCTCATATGAATGGGGAGAGGTAAATATACATTAATTAATATTTTCTTCTGGCTCTCGTGCACTCACTCTTTTTGACTAAAGTTGACAAAATAAAGTTGTCAAAACCAAGGATAAGAATGTGCCTCTCAACCATCTGCTAATTTGTTGAGATCACCTGTAAGAATGAGGGGGAATTAGATCACAGTGAATTATGTATGACCTGCAACTACCTTACTCTTGCTGCCTATAGACTGTGATATACCCACAATTGTGTTTGCCTGGTTATTGTATTTCTCCTTAGACAGGTTGACAATTACTGGACAAGAAAAGATCAAGTGATGCATGCAATTACTTTTTTTCTTTTTAACTTTCTAGCAATTATCTGGAATTAGGAAACAATCTGTTATGTTAAATGTCTACTACTCTAGCATTATATCTTAGCTCTGCAATTTGTAGATTGGCCTCAAAATATTGGTTTCCTTTCTTCTTCCCCTTCTTCCTCCCTCCCTCTACTCAATCCTCCTATTCTTTTTTATTTTTAATGTTTATTTATTTTTGAGAGAGAGAGAGAGAGAGCAACTTGGGAAGGGACAGAGAGAGAGGGAGACACAGAATTCGAAGCAGGCTCCAGGCTCTGAGCTGTCAGCATGGAGCCCCAGGTGGGGCTCGAATTCACGAACCATGAGATCATGACCTGAGCTGAAGTTGGACATTTAACTGACTGAGCCACCTAGGTACCCCTCAATCTTCCTATTCTTATACCTCTATCTTTCTGTCTCTTCTTTTCTGCATCTACCTATTAACCTATCTATCTATCTAAACTACCTTAGGAAGCCTTTATCCAAATGAAATCTAGCATGCAGTGGATCATTGTTAGAATACCACTGGAATATTTAAGTTTCAAACCTTTTGATATGTCTCTGTTTCACAGATGCACTGTATTTTTAATGGGATATAACAACCAATAATTGGATTGATGCCATATTAAAAACAATGAAAATATTGTAAAACTCTCAGATATTCTATTTACTTTGTGATTTTTTTTTTAAAAAAAGAAGTTTAGTGGGAAAATGTAGGGGAAAAATCTATACAATTTTATCTAGGAAAATAAAACAATTTGATATTCTAGTTTGTTTGCTGCCTCAGCTTTGGAGAAAAAAGAATCCTAAATATCTAAGGGCAAATTCTACTATTATTTCATTTTTTTATTTAAGTACTCACAACAAAGATAAAATGTCTATTGACTATAAAGAAAATATCAAAAATATACAAAAGAAAATAGCAAGCATCTTTTTTAATTTGAAAAATAAGAAGTCTTAAAAGTGGGAAAATTTTAGTGTAAAATTTATCAAGATATACACATTGCAAATTAGAATACCTTTCTATACTCAAATTAGTTGTGTGAATGTTTATTCCACATTCAAAAGAACTAATTCAAATGAACAAATTCCATTGATGAAAGAACCTTTTTAAATTGACAAATTTTTAGTAAAATGGCAAATGTAATAGCTAAAGCAAACTCTCAAACTTCTATTCCAAATTACTTACTTTAAAGACATAATCAAGTTATGCAACTTGGGGAATATATTTGTGAATTGGGCTGATTTTAGTATTTAATGTTTTTTAATCATAAAGAAAACAATACTTTAGTTTTCTTGCAACAGTACGGTGTGTTTTTAAAAAAGTATCTTCAAGATTCTTTTCAAATTCCAAAAATTTATTCCACTGTATCATACAGCCTTCTCCATATCTATCTGGTAACTTTCATAATAAATTTATGTTAATCCTAAATTAACATGCATATTCCTAAACTATGTTCTTTCTCAAATTAGGCTTGTCCAACAACAGACGTTCTAAACTTATATATCCTGAGCCCCTATGCATGGGGAAGTTTATTGCAAAAAATCTTTGAATTTATTTGAGCATCAAGCATCATAGTTTGTAAGTTGAATCAATATTATGGCCTTTACATGTATGTAAGCAATTATATTTTCAAATTAAGTAGATTTTTTGTGGTTAATAAAATATAAATTTATTTGTAAGCTTTACTGAATTCATTTTATCTTTTAATAATTTTGTATTTTCTCTATCAGTAGATACAACTAAAAAATCTATATTGTAGGAGTTCATAGGAAAAAGTATTTATGTCAAAAAAAATCTCTTACATTCAGTTAGAGTAGGGACCTCTGTTCTAACATATTTATGTGTGTATGCATGTTTGGCAACTAACTATTCGTCAGTCATTTTCTTACTTTTTCCATGACTAGGTAGGCAAAGATATATGAGTAAAGAAAATGGTGAATAGGAACATGGTGAATAACATATAGATTTGATTATTGGCTCTTAGAGTATACTATATAAAATTACTCTATCTCAGAAGATTATTACAATACTGTTCATAAAGCCATTTTGTAACTATCTGGCTGAGAAGGAATTTAGGAAACTATTAGCTTTTCCATTGTGTCTACTTTTACCAAACTACCCCTGAGAATGAAACTTTTTCTTTTAGACTAAAGTCAATGTATGCTCTAAATTGATTTCCTAGTGAAGCTGAGTAAGGAAAGCACCTGTTGACATTTCGTATTGCCCTATTTAATTTTGCTTGCACAGGAACATCCTGGAACCCATAGTTGTAATTAAAAATGTTAGGTGATATTGGTCAATAGACTTAAAACTGGAATTTATAGTGATAGAGTTATTTTTATTTTTTTAATTGAATCAGTACTAATCTTGATCCTTGAGGAAAATTATCATACTTTTTACTAAATAAATAGTACCATTGTTAAATAAAATAGTACCATTTACTAAAGAAAAGTACCATTTCTTCTATTCAAGATGCTTCATTTTTCACAGGCTACTGTGGATGTTACAGTCAAAAGTCAGACTTCAAGGTCTTTCTGACATAACATGGATGGTCTTAGGCAAAATTAATTTCTCCAAGACTTGATCCTCCAATGAATATACTAGCATGAGGTTCTCATGAGTGTTAAATGGACTAACATATATATATATATATATAT